ACACTCAAACATAGTGCTCGTAGCAGGTGAATTTAATGCCCAGCTAGGTAGTTTAAACCCAACAGATAGATATTTCAGTGGGTATTTTGGTATTCTGGCTCAGCGAACATATAACGGTGACCGTCTGCTGCGACTGTGTTCAGACAATTGTTTAGTTTTAGCAAGTACTAATTTTAAGCATAACGAGAGACATCGTCTAACTTGGAGACGTCTTGCACCAAACCAACGATTGACTCAAGTAGACCATATTGCCATCAGTCATCGTTTGAGAGGCCCGACAAAAGATTGTCGCTCATTCTGGAATATCTAATTGGACTCCGACCATGCTCTAATACGGGCATGCATCTGCTTGCACCTCACTGGACGCAGAAAAGCCACACTAAAAAGACCCATTGGAATTGAATTGAGTTATGAGAAAACCAAAAGTAGGTTCAAGAAACAACTGAGGTCACACCTAGGTAGTTCTGAAAACGAGGCTGAACCAGATGTTGCTTGGAAAGATATACGGACAGCTGTGGAAACAGCAGCAACATCTATTGGTGATTTGAACCAAAGGGTCACGAACAACCAGTGGATTTCTGCTACATCTGTTGCACAGAGAGACTTTCGTAAACTCGTCCCATCAGGCTCCAAGCACTCTGAAGAGCGAAAACAAATCAGATCTAGGTTAACCAAAAATCCTAGGGAACGACCGCGAGCTGTGGTGGACAACGAAAGAGATGGAAAAGGCAGCAGCTGTGGGTAACACGAGACAGCTCCACAGACTAATAAAAGAAAGTGGGATTAAGAAGTCAAGACAACACTTATCTACTCACAGCCCAGACGTGTAGAACGACGGGCGGAACACGTTAAGAAGCAGTTCAGCCGGCCTTCGGCCACTCTATAACGACCCTCCATTCCCAGACAGTGTGAATGGAACATTGAAGTAGGTCCCCCAACTCTTGCTGAAGTTCAAAACGCTATAGCTAATCTGAAACGAGGAAGGGCAGATGGTCCAGATTGATTGGCTCCAGAGGTCTTTAAGGATGGTGGTCCAAATTTAGCAATTAGGTTGACTAATATTTTAGCTAAGATCTGGGAGTTAGACGTTATCCCATCTAACTGGTCACAATCACTTATCGTCCCAATATATAAGAAAGGGTCAAAATCATCCTGTGACAACCACAGAGGGGTTAGTTTAACTAATATAATATCTAAAACACTAGCTTCGATAATTATCAGACGCCTAACTAAGACTCGTGAACTGCAAACACGAGAGAACTAAGCTGGTTTCAGACCTGGTCGTGGCTGCATCGACCACATATTCACCATTCGTCAGATTCTAGAACACAGGCATACTTATCGACGTCCGACAATGGTGGTCTTTCTCGACTTAAAAGCAGCATTTGACTCGGTGGACCGCGAGATTCTGTGGCAGTGTCTGTCATTGAAAGGCGTACCACAGAAGTACATAAACCTTGTGAAGGCTCTTTACTCGAATACTACTAGTCGAGTCAGAGCTTATGGCAAACTGTGATCTGCTTTCGCAAGGCTGTCCACTTTCTCCATTTTTGCTTAACTTAATCATGGAACTACTGGTGGAAATAACGCTTTCATCGACAGAATTCTCGGGCATTGATCTCATACCAGGAGGTTCACTTGTCGACTTAGAATACGCAGATGACATAATCCTGTTTGGTGAAGATGCTGATACAATGCCGAGTCTTTTGGTAGCACTGAGTAACAATGCCAGGGTGTTTGGGATGTGTTTCTCCGTCTCTAAATGCAAGATGTTGCTTCAGGACTGGCCTGCGTCAACACTTGAACTTAGGATAGGGAGTAAAGTAGCTGAACGCGTTGGCATCTACACTTAACTTGGAAGTCTGATCATCGCTAATGGGTTGGTGTCTGACAAAATCTCTTTACGGATTCAAAAAGCTCGTTTGGTTTTTGCTAACTTACGTCACTGATATGACGGGATGAAAAGTCAAAATTAGGTTGATTTACTCATTACGATTTCTTGTTCAACATAACTTCCGTTTTAATTCAGTATGATGATTACCCAATAGTGTTTCTTCCCGTATGATATTTTATTCTGTATAACATACGATATTCTTGTATTCAGTGGACATGAACTATTCTCAGCATATGACTTTTTACAACTAATCTGTTCTTTTCTTTTCTTTTCTTATACGCACATTACCTCCTTTTTTCTCTTCCCATTCTCATTTTGTGTGGCGCATATATATTTGATGCCCCTTGTAACAATATTTATGTGTTCAAATAAATGAAATAAACAATATTCTTGTATAAAGTATTTTTCATATATATGTGATTTTATTGTAATTATTAATAAAAAATGGGTGTATGAATCAATATATAAATAAGTGTGTATTTCGGACTAGACTTGTCGTGGTTGCTCGTGCTTCTGACTGCTTGTGGAATATATTTCCCTTTCCCGAACTTGGACTTTTTTTCTCTAGTTAACTGGGCTGGGACGCTTCAGAATAGCTAGTTTATTGGTCTTTGGTCAAAGTCTTTGTTCCGTTCTCAGATTAGGTGAACTCGTAATCTCTTCAAAAATAAAAGTCACCTATGGCGAAGGCGATATATCCGACTATCAATTAAGAGACGAGTACACTGTGCAACAGTTCACTCTGTTCTACTTTACGGCTGTGAAACGTCGTCATTAAGAGTAGAAGATACTCGTAAGCTACTAGTATTTGATCACAGATGTCTTAGAAATATAGCTCGCCTCTGCTGGGATCACCAGGTAAGTAATAGTGAGGTTAGACGCAGGGTATTAGGGAATGATGATGGTAAATCAGTTGATGAGGTTGTGAATCTTCATCGACTGAGATGGTTGGGCCACGTGTTACGTATGCCTGAACACCGCTTACCACGACGCGCAACGCTGACTAGTGTTGGAGATGCCTGGAATAAAGTTAGGGGCGGCCAAACCAAAACGTGGCATCAGTCCTTGAAGTCACTAACTTCTGGTTTGAGCCATGTTGGCAGATGCAGACTACTTGGTTGCGGTCCGCGTGACTTTCGTAACCAATGGTTGGAGACTCTGGATGACATGGTTTAGAATCTATCACAATGGTGTTAGTGTATACACTTTGTCCTCCCTTAAACCGTGAGATTAAAATCACTTCATATATTTCTTTCTATGAACTAATTTTTTCATTCTGTACTACATCCTATATTCAATCTTTCTTTTATATATTACTATCAGTGAATTAAGTACTTCTATGAATTCGGTGTTCATCTTGTTGTGCTAATGAGGTATGGCAACTTGAACCGATGCATATATGTGCCTGGTCCTATGTTGTAGCTAACTGAATGCTTCCTTACTGACCTCTACTATGTCATTGGCTCGAAAGTTATCCATTTCGGTTCGTACGCACCATCCAGTACCAGTTATTACAAACCATGACAGTTAGATGAATAGTATACGGAATTCCTTTTATAAATACTTTATTAGTTCCATATCATAATAAATAACCTTACTCATTAAATCTACTGTATTCTAACACACTTCCTACTTTTTTTATACCCTATTTCATTCAGCACCCAGTCATTTTTGAATGTTCTGATTAATATAAATCTCCTTCCAAGTTCATAAGTCCTCGCTTTCTCTCACTTAGTGTCACTCTAGTAGTGTTTAATCCAGTAATTTTAAAACATCACGTATCATTATGACTTGCTATTTAAAATGTCGATCAAAAAAGCGACAGATATGATTAGAATTTTGACAAGTTTAGTCATTTGTGTATGATGTAAACCAGAAATCTGAATTCATGACTTCATCAACTTCTTTACATTTGTTAATTAAAATAGTTAGATTTTACACTTATAAACTCAAAAACACCATAAAGTTTACGGTCATTTTTTCAATATTCCATCCGACGCTAGAGCCCAAATTTCGCTAGTTGACTGAATCCATCCTAACTACTCTCTATGTACTGTTGTATTAAACCGTCCAAGCGAAGTTAAAAGCTAAGCAGAGCAACGAATTCATTTTATTGCATCTACTTATTTTGAAAACACAAGCATTGGTACAAGGAGGCACCAAATAGATATGCGCCACATAAATAATTCGATTTGTGTGAGGGCTGGGATACTGCCCGGGTGCCCGAAGCAAAGCAGGATTACAACCCACATAGCACGGACAATCTATATCAATAACTGGATTACAAACATAAACTGCTCCTTCACTCAATCGTTAACGCATGCTTTCGAGGCTTGTTAACTTCAGACAAACAATAAAAGGAGACAAGCTCAATCCGTCGAATAATATATAGCTTGCAGTTCATATAATCTGTGATTAGTTCAATGACCTAAATGGTCGATAATCCCTGGTTAGGTGGATGAACTAGTCATTCAATATTTAAGCAGTCATAATAACCGTTTTCCACAAGCAGTACATATTCAATGAAGTAATCGGAAGAAATTGTTTATTCAGAAGTGTGTTTTAGCCAGAAACGACCAATAATTGATTAAGTTTATATGAATACAGAGATCTAATCTAACTAAGCAGACAACCATAAATTAATCACTTAACACTAGTGGCTGCCCTAACTTAACGATTAGTTTTTGGGTAGACAAATTAATCACCTTATGATCATGAACTGATATCACGACTGGAGAAATATTAAAGATTAAGAGACAACGTTAGACACCTGTCTAATCTTGGTTCAAGGCTTTTTATCACCGTGTAAACATAGCTGAAGATACGAATGAATCAGGATTAATCATGAATGGTGAACGAGTTTCAGATGGTTAAAATTGATGAAATCAGTGCCAATCAATTGATGACATAAAATCCCTACATACGAAATGTTGAACAAAAGAGTAAACATGATAAAAAGATAATTGGAAGATGATCTACTGAATGGTACATATTTCACGGGTCACTCAACTGACGATGAAATTATGACCTAAATATCAAACTTAATTCATTTCTTCCTAATCATCTAAACATTCAAGTCTTGCGATTAGAATTACACTTTTAAATTTATGGATTTCATTTAATCAGAAACACTCATCAGTTGTCGACTTTAATGAATGATCTTTGTCAATAAACAGCTGTTCAATGTGTATACTACAGAAGAGCTAAGTGAATCAGTGAAACAGAAGGATGTCGATCCTAAAGTGATAAATTTATTAACTGTTTATAAACTCTTCATTATCACATATAGTAGACCGAACAATCTGACAAAAATGACATAATCAGAGGGTTATAGTAATCGCTCCAAGTTTACTTTAAGCTGAAATACATAAGAATTGCAGAGAAAATACAAAAGTGAACAACCACAAAAATTAGACAAATATACAATGTCACCTAGATGAGATCTCAAAATAAAAAGAGAATTAGTACGTGAAATTGATGGGAATAGAAAAGATCTCTCTACAACCGAAGTACAAAATGATAAAAATTTCAGATAAACAAGAAAAGTAACTTTACTATCCACAATCACATACAAACTGACACCACTGTCTTCGCTGTCCATATTGACTTAATCAATTGTAACATTCATATCACGTAAACCCTTCACCTCTATAAAATAAACATTGTAGAAGAATGGCTAAATCTAATCCAATCTGTAGTAAACCACACATTAGAAACTGTAATGGGGCATTTTCTAATATAAAGTAAATTGTTTTGAATATATCACCTGAAGTCCACATTAACACCATTGAGATACTGAAGATGACAAAAAAATGAAAGATAATAATATCAGTTTGAATTTATGTTAAATTTAAGACAATTTGTTGACAGTCACAAATGAAAAGTAATCAACTTTTAAAGATTTGGTGGAACAAGTTCTCTAACCTTCAAAAAGTGAAATCGTTGACAACTCGACACATGATATGAGACTAAATCATCCATGCTACTTGCGACTAACGTATATCAATCAAATCATGATCAACAGTCTGACTATTAAAAGCTTCCCAGATTTCAACTTTGTAAATCTGACAATGATGATAGAGATATGCAAGTTTTACATCAATTTGACATGTTTAGTCACGGTTGCCCGATCTCACTATTCCTCTCCAACTTTGCCAACGATGACGTTCTGGAAACAGCTCCGATGGATGTAGGATCTGCGGATCTGCTGCCGGGAGAAAGACTTCGACCTTGAAGATGCGGACGATATCGTCTTACTGTCTTAACCCCCACTCTCTATCTCTTCACACCATCACTGCTGTGCGGTGCATATGTACCACCACCAATGTTTACGTGTTCAAATAAATAAATAATAACATTATTAAGTTTTCAGAATTAATCGAACATTTGGTACACGCGCTTTCATTATCACGGTCCTAATTTTTATCATTATACAATACTCCTGATTATTATCTTACTATACTTTATTATACTATTCAAGATTTGTGAGTCATCTGTCTAATTCATTTCATTGTAATAGTTTTGCATTTGAAAATGCATAAATTTCATTTATTTTATTTCTTTCCTAACACCATCAATTAACTGAATTCAAAGAAAAAACAGTATTTAATCGTGAGCCGGACTGGTAACCTTTTTTAAGGTATCTAAAAATGTTAACTGACAAACGAGTTACTTATTACCTTAATTATTTCAGATATCGATTGAATTCGGAAATATCGACATTGAACTCTAATTCAGTCAGCGAAAGGTATGGTGTAAATCAGTGTCGATCGTTCTCTGTTAGATGTCGTGCGATACAATATGTATAAGTTATTTAGGGATCCTTAACCCAGATAAAACAACTGACACTGTTTTCCAAGGCCTTCATGACGAAAATTACCTTCATATAATTAAATCCGCATACATTTAAATGTGATCAACTAGAGAGCATTAAAAATCGATTAAATTGCACACAATTCAAATTCAACGAGTTGTTAATGTAATCAATAGAATAAATAAATTGAAACAAAATTAGTCCATTAAAAAGAATCTTTTTTTACTTAATGTGAAAAGCAACCAAACAAAATCAACAATAACGATAAAGTGCAACTTAAAAGGCAAACTTTAATGAATGAGTCTTCAAACAAAAAGTACGTAAACTAGGACAGTTAGATTAAGATTTAATTAGCTAAACAGTATTTTTTTAGAATTCTATACTATTATATTAAATTATAATTGATCGGTATATATATATATATATATACATTCAAAGGGAATTTCACAAGATAGTTCGATAAATGCCAGAAACAATCAGAATTCATATTGATTCTTCCAAAATGTTACAATTACTGGTGAAACATATTCAAAATTGAATAAGATCTATAGAAACTAATTTTAAATATAAATTTATCGATAACCAGGAAATGAACTCTTAGGTTTCAATAAGACAGTCGTGAAAGATCAGGGTTATATGTGATTTAGTGCTCTGTACTATAAACAGATAATTAATTTCGATATCTAGATTATCTGCGTCCCGAACAACTAATCGGTTGATATTTTTCAAGAAATGAAAACAATATTTATTATAATTTTTTTTTTCAGTGTTAACATTACATTCCTGAGAGCTAGACATGTGTGTGGCATAAATCCATACAAGTAGAGCTCCATTGTTTGAACTTCACTTAGATTAATGTAGTAATGAAACCACCGAAACTGATCCATAAAGTTCACCGAGTTTTCCTCCCATCCAAACGCTACAACTCAAGGAAGTGTGGTAGGTAGCCTCTATTTATTATTATTTAATCTACTTTGTAAGGATTCAATCTAGTATCCCTGTTTGTCTCTGGCTCAAAAAGTTTTAGATGGTTCATCAAAAGGTTTGTACAATAATAAACGTCAGTGAGAACTTCGTGTTAGTTATGTCTATGACTAACCAATCAAATTGTTGCTTAAGCTCTCACCACGTCAATCTGGTTTGATGTGTCTGTAGACTATCCCCGTTGCATATAACCTACCAATTGAAGGACAGTATTATCTGATTATATTAGTGTGACTCATTTTTATTCATTTCGATAAGACACGCAATACTGGTCGGTTTGTTGATGCGTTTCACTTAATGATTATAATTCCTTTAATTACTGTACTAAGCTAATTGTTTTCATTTTTAAAAACAGATAAAGTTTAAAGCCAAGTTGTCCTTGTTCTGTTCATAGCTTTCACATAGACTCTGGGGTCGCGAGTATCACGTTTGCAGTTCTAGCAGAATGTCTGTAGAACAAATTAAATCCTACAAAGATTCGAGAACAGCTACCGAACGGATCCCCTGTTAGTTAGAATTACCTAAAGTACGCTTAGCTCAGACAGAAAGAGAAATTGAGTTGGAAAGGTCATGTCAAAAGGGGAGAGAGCATTATAGTCAAGTTGTGGCTGGCAAGGTGACGTCGTACAAGTTTACATCTGCCCAACGTACAGTTGATGTTCCTCCTGGAAAGGACTGAGTAACAATGATATCTAAAGCTATGGACCTACCAAAATAGAGATCATGTTTGACGGTAATCCCGTGAAATATTGGAGTTTCATACGGAATTTCGTAAACTGCTTCGATGCAAGTGCTGAAAGTCGATCTAGGTTAAATTATTTGATTCAGTATTTTAACGGTAAAGCTAAATCTACTATTGTTCATTGTGTACTGTTTGAACCAAAAGAAGGCTATCGTAAGGCGTTAGAGCTTCTCGAGGAAGCATTCGGTCAGAAGCACATCGTATCTCATGCATTTATTGGTAAGATGCTGAACATCCCTGCTATTAAGGGGACTAATCCAGATAATTTAAGAAGACTATCTTGTGAGACGATTTGTGATCTAACACACGTAGATGAACTATGTATCCGATCTGAATTCTACAAAGGCTATCGAGAGTATGTTTTTTGAAACTCCCACCACACTTACAAAGAGAATGGGCGAAATTGGCATGCAGAATTCTTAAGAAGAGTAGAGAGCCTTAATTTAAGCACCTTTACAAATTTGTGAAGGAGCAGTCGGATATTGTTAATACCAGATACGGATTGCTTGTCAGTGAAGATCGTTCTAAACGAAACAAAAGGCAGTCGGCTGTTGTTACTAAGAAAAATCTTCATTCAGAGTATAAGGCGAGAGTCGTTCGCTAACGCGAGTGGGTCTGATGTCACTTCACACGTAAGATCAAGCACCTTTAAGTTTTCATGTTCATTATGTACTGGAAACCACCCTTTAGACCAATATGAAAGGTTTAGAGATAAGGATATCAATGAAAGGATAGAGTTTGTATTAAAGAAGTTGTGCGGTGTCTGTTTGAAGGCGAACCACAAAGTAAGAAACCGTCGGGCACCGAGGTCATGTGCCGTCGAAGGATGTGACTGGAGACACCACACCTTGTTAAACAGGAAGCGGGAAGAGTAGGGAGACAGTAATAGTAATGTGCATATCAATACCCAACTCTGTACGGAGGAAAGTGTTAAGCGTGTACTGAGACCAGTAGCATTTGCAATAGTATTGGTAAAAAAAATGGAGAAAGGGCAGTACACACTTGCGCTTTCCTAGATAATGGCTCAGACGCTTCGCTTATTACAGAATATTTAGCTAGAAAGTTGGGTTCAGAGGAAGAGTTCAAGACGCTTTTATTGAAAACTCTGGATAGCCAATCCCCATTTCATTGTAATGAGATCCAACTAGAAGTTTGCCCCTTAGATTCTTCTTCATCACTCAGAATTTCAAAGGTGTGGACAGTCGAGAGATTACCTATGTTTCGTGGGACGGTATCAACAACATATCAGATGGCATCGTGGTCTTACTTGCGGTGTGACCCTCCCAAGAGTTGACATCAAAGACGTCAGGTACAATGTACCTGAGGCACATAAGATAAAAATGAGAGTGGGAAAATATAACGAACCATACGCTATAAAAACTCCTTTAGGGTGGACGTTGTTTGGACCTTACAGTGAGACCACGAGAAATATGGGTATCATAAATTATCTATTGTCGAAAGATGAACTAGAAGCTAGATTAGACCAGTTATATAAGATGGACTTTGAAGAAGACCCGAATCAACATGCGCCCAGGTCGGCTGAAGATCGTAAAGCCTTAAATGCTATGTCCAAATCTACACAATTAGTGAACAGACATTACCAAATAGCTTTGCCCTGGCGTCACCACCAAAGCCTACATAATAATAAAAAACTAACTATGAGTAAATTAAATTCCTTGAGAAACCGGCTCATCCGTGACCAGAGGTTGCATATAGAATATGTTAATGTGATGGCATAGTATGTTGATCGGGGCTACGCCGGAAAGGCTACAGAGAACTTCGTTAGGTGTCGGGTTTGGTATTTACCGCACCACCCTTTCTTCCATCCAAAAAAACTTAATAAGCTAAGAATCGTATTCGACTATGCAGCGCAATACACTGTATTCTGGTCCAAATTTAGTTAACAATCTGGTAGATGTCTCCACCAAATTTTGGCAACGGTCAATAGGTCTCACGGCAGATTTTGAAGCTATGTTTCATCAAGTGGTTGTACCGCCACAGGATCGCGATGCCCTTAAATTTTTATGGTGGCCGCAGGGTGACATAAGAACTGAACCAGAAACTTGTAAGATGGAAGTACATTTGTTTGGTGCGACCTCACCAAGTTATCAACCAGTGTTAATACGTTAGAAGCTAAATTAATATATTCTCAGCTGAAGGAAATGTTACGTTTAGGGGGTTTTAATCTGACCAAATGATGCAGTAACAATGTTGAATAATTGAAGTTTGTTCCAAAGGAAGACCGCGTAGAAAGAAACGAAGACATTTGTTTATCTATGGAAAGAAATGAAAGGACTCTATAAATAAAGTGGAATATTTGAACGGATAAGATCTTCAGGTTGTGTGAATTCAATGCGACTCCTACAAGGAGAACCATTTTGTCGTATGTAGCTTCTATATTCGACCCAGTTGGGTTTACAGCTCGTTGTTTTACCAGCTAAATTAATTTTGCAACATACTTGTCAGTACAATCTGGCACGGGACACAGAGCTTCCTAGGGAGTACTTTATGAGATGGGACTTAGCTCAGAAGTATGAGGCGCATAAGTGAACTGTTACTTTCCAGATGTCTCGTACCATAGTCGTACAAACCACTGGGTACTCATATTCACTTGCTTTGCCGATGCCTCAGGATTTGCATATGGTGTTGTGGCTTATGGTCGTTTTGAGGATATCTCCCATCAAGTTCATTGTTCCTTTCTATTAGCTAAGTTCATGGTTGGCCCACTGAAACCTATAACCATTCCTAGTCAGTTAGTAACAACGTAGAACTTCGTACGTACGTACATCAGTTCGAGTTGCCATACCACATTAGCATAGAGATGCAGTTGTCGATTTAAATCCCGTAGTGGTAGAGGTAGTAAAAGTATAAGCAGTAATCGGAAAGATTAGGGTTTATAGATGTTATTCAAGGAGTATAATCCAGTGAAATAAAGTTGGAAAGAGGAAAAAAGGGATACGAAGAAGTCAGAAGAATTAACAGCTGTTGTACTGTGTGCTAAGATTGGAAAACACGTGGAACAGCAATTACGCATCCCTATCTCTGTCACTTATTGGACGGATTCATTGGTCGTACTTCATTGTATAAGAAATACAATCAAAAGATTTGAGAGATTCGTAAGCAATAGCTTACCAACGATTCACGAGCTGTCTACAGCAAGCCAATGGAAATATGTTAAAAGTAAACAGAATCCTGCGGATCATGCTTTGCGTGGATTGTCGTTAGATGATAGCATCAAAATAAAAAAGAGTGGTTTCACGGACCGAACATTTTATGGCAGAACGAAAGTGGCTGGTCAAATTCATGAGAAGAGGAGAACCATGTTTTAGCCCACTTGTTTACAGAAGAATTAGGCGAAACATTAGCGGGGAGTCATTTAGACCGATTTTTGAATCAATTTAGTAATTGTAAGACCTGGTCCAAAATGCTGAGAATATTCGCTCTATACAAACGGTTCGTCCACAATATGAGGATGAGATTAGACGGAAGACCGTTAATTCATGGTAGATTGAGATTGAGAGAAATTGATAGCGCGAAGCAAAATATAATTAAATTGGTTGAAATAATCTCATTCCCCATAGAGATGGAGACGCTAAGGCGCATAGAGCATAAAAACGAGCACGGCAGTACATGTGAATCACAAGAAAGACTGATATAATGAATCTGTTTCGAATAAGGAAATGACACTCCATCTAATGTCTGCTGGTAAGAAAATGAGAAGTGTTGCGCGTAGGAGCCCGATGAAGAATCTTAATCCTTTCGTAGTAGAGGGACGACTTCAATTATCGTCCTTGCCCTTCGAAAACAAACATCGGCTTATACTTCCCAGTAATCATTTTGTTAGTGACTTGGTCGTAATGCACTATTATTTGCAGAACGCGCATTCTGGTATTACTCACACCCTGAACAGTTTCCGCGAAGAGTTCTGGGTCATTAAAGCTCAGGCTGCTATCCAAAGAGTCATGAAACAGTGCTTCTTATGCAAGAAACTCAACACTACGCCGTGCACACAGATCACCTGGAAGCTTACGTACCACCATTCAATTTTGTTGGTATAGACTATTTTGGACCATTTTACGTTAAGAGGAGAGTCATTGAAAAACGATATGGTTGTTTGTTCACTTGCCTGTCTTCAGGTATGAAAACTCTCAAATTAAACTACTAACCACTTACCTCATTCCAACAATCGATTTATTATAATAATTCTTCGTAAATTGTGGTAAACCCAACATAGATTCGATGAACAAGGCAGTAAAGCCCAATAATTGAATATAAATTTGACTCGATGACAATAAGTAAGTGCACAGACCGGAAATCAGTGTAAATAAACATAGGAATAATAAATAGTTAGAGAAATGTGTCCATTTCCAAAAATTACGAAGCCAGATATCTATGAGAAATGTAAACATAAAACAAACCGAAGGGAATTCCTCGTTATTACGGTTGACTGCAAGATAATACACTAAAATTGATGGGATATTAATAATACTAGGGTCAATGTTAATGATACAATATACATTCACTCATTTAATTATTCTTACTAGTTAAATATTTCCTCTTAATAAATTTCCAATTCTACTAAAATGGGAATTAGAAGTGAAATAGTGATATATTTTTGATATCCAATGAGTAGGAAATAGAATTTATGACGTTTAGCGGTTTAATAAATAAATAACCAAATAAGATTAGCAAAAATGTTAATTTGGTTCGATTATTTACAAGGGAACTACACTCTGTCAAACATGATTATAAATTAATATGTCAAGATATTTACAGAAATGAAAGGACCAAATTATAAATCAATGGGAAAACATAAAAAAGGTGTATAATGCAAGAGAACAACATTACCTATACTATAATAATGTTAAAAGTAAAATCAATATCACGAGAGTATGTACATACTGATTTTTAAATAAATCACCAAAGTTCACAATTTTCATTTCGTTCTTAACGCTTCAATAAATCCAAGTATTTCCTACTCTGAAAATCTCTATAGCACTACTATAAAGATTAGTAGTCTTAGATCCCTCACGCGGAATTGTGGATGAGCACTGCTAAGGAGTCTCATCCTATGACGAGACGGCCGTTCAGTGCTTCCAGGTTTTCAACAGCGGTCTAACATTGATCGATTCATGATTTCCACAACCATATGCTGGTAATTTTTCTGATTGCTTGATAGATCGGATCGATTTCAATGCATTTGGTGATTGCTAATTGACCTCGGTGCCAGGCTTCTAAAAACCCTCTGTTGTTTTTAGTATTCCTTCTATCCAAGATCTCAACATTTCTTCAGTTGAATATATCTACAGTTGTCCACATGCATTGATATAAGCGAGGATATGTCGTGGCGTTTGGCCGCTAATTGGTGTTCGTGGAGACAAAGATAAAGGGGTTGTCCACTTTGCCCGATGTAGCGTTTTTAGTGATTGGAACAGTTTATTTTTTAGATCACGGGAGGTTTTTGTTCTTTAGTCATCTAGTCTTTTGGTTTGCATAGGGTTGATTGAAGTGATTTTGTGGATTTGTAAGCTACATCTATTCCAAACGGCTTCAATAATCGCATTGTAATTTCTGATGTCTTCCAAGTTAGGTAACAGAATATACTCTTGATTAAACATTCATGTATTCAACACATGTAATAGCCATTCATAAAGTAAACAACTTATTCCAAAAATGAATTAATCATACTTCCACATAATTTAATCTTAAGCATGAACAATTTGCTCAGAATAAATGTTTATTTATAACACAAACATTTCGGTAAAAGGCATTCAGAAGAATTTACTACGCACTGTAGAATGACAATATGAGAAAATAGAAGCGAGAAACGTCATATTATTAACGAACAAATAAAATATACAATCCAGTCAAAAATAAAAAGAAGACTTCTTACAGTTAGAATTACTCTCGTGTTTATAAGAACTGTGAAAAAAACTACAGCCAGATTACCATTGAGCTCTGCTTTAACCTATATCTGACATATCAGACTATTGAGCTGCATTATCATAATAAACCCAATTAGGAAATTAAATTAGGCTAATAGCTGCTAGTCGTATGCAACAACCTATCATTCCACGGTGATGTGCTATGAACTAGTGATTTCGATTTTTCACCCAGTATTAGAGTAAGCACCTAATGCACAGTTTGGAAGCAGCTGAAATGACATAACCCACCTAACCCGATGATCTGAGACCATGATACTAAACGGACTATTACTACAGTATCAAACAAACATGAGTAAACTCTAGGAAATGATCGATGTAGATGAAATGTCAGAAATGATCGAACAAAACGAAAGAAAATTCATCTGCTTATCATATATCAGTTTTTTACAAGAATTTCACAATTCTAGAAGCATGGTTTAGATGCAATTATAAGACTCTTACCGTCAAAAATATTGCAACCTTTAAATAGACCACTCAAAGATATGAATCGACAATCGCTTCAGTCCAGGACGATAAAACGCTCTTAAATTGCTAAATCTTTCCAAACGGTTTGGTAAGTTCTCTGAGTAGATGTTTGCCTCTATCGTTGAAAAGGGTTGAGGGTAGGTTGTCTGAGATTAATGACTAGGAATGCTCCAGAAGCTGGAGTTCGTTATGGAACTCCACCTAGTTCGGTGTACTGATAGACACATTCCAAGAACAGGACAGGTTTGTTGATACTGTTTGAGTAGTAGGAAACCAGCTAAACTAACCCACAAAGTACCCTACTTAGCATTCAAAGTGTCTTTGAAGATTACTAATCGGCGTGCCATTAACCACATAGGATGTTTCATTTACACTACGCATCTAGCTGTTAGCAGCTCGGACGACTTGGAAGTTTCCGGGGTTAACCAGATATAGCTCCTGCTCCTAACTCTTCATCACTCTTTGACCACCAAGCATAACGGTGCTTATGAGAACTTTGAGAAGTTTTACGCGTATAGCCATATCCACCATCCACTGACAGAAAACAAAGGTGATCGTGTAGTTAAAAGTTGTATATCGATCATAATAAAAGTGATAGATTTAATGTTTTATATCATCAAGCATATTAAGATGAGTGTGCACGAACATTGTGAACATTAATTAGTATCAGTACTGACATAATCACATGACCAACCACTTATGGTCTAAACGAAAAGAATGCTATAACCAATGTGCCGTCATTTTATTATTAAAAAAAGATAAGAACTTATGCCATAGAGTGATCGGCTATCTCCTTCAGGTAATAAGCGACAGCTCAGAGTAATAGAAATCTATTGAAAAGGTCACCATAATATGGTTACTACTTCTAAAATTCTTCAACATGAAATGATTGAATAATGCGTATATTCAGTCAACTTAACCCTATTTTGGTAGAAAATATTTTAGCTAGTTATGGGCTTATTTAATGTGGAAAGTGTATATACAGACTGACTTTATGTTTACTCCATCTGTTAGGTAGCTATATGAGGCTGTCAAACAACCCTGAACCTCGGTTACTTGTTGGTTGGCATTTATAAAATGCTGAAGTTTCTTATAGGACTACAGCCGACAGTTTCAAGAGCAGAACAGATACTACTAAATTGTTCCAATCGACCACTCTCAAACACCTAGCATCAAACAACTCATGCTACGATGTACAGTCGCTTAACACAAGGAGGGCACCCCATGTAACAATTCGGTTACTTATTGTAGTATTTAAGGTCCTTATTCATGAAATTTACGGAAGAGATAGTTCAAATACATATAAAAAAGGATAAAACCGATATTAGGTTGAGAAAGGAAATCATTACAATGCTTATTTCTAACCTATTCCTAAGATGTATGCCTATATGTTTTTCCGTAATTCTCTGAACGCACTGAATCGGACGTTTTATCACTTTATCATTAATCTGTTCAAGAACCTTTTTTTTACTACGACAACTTCAAGAAAACTTTTTGGAGTCTCTGCACTCGACCCATATTGTCTCCAGTATGAATCATAAAACATCGTCAATATACGAAGATTGGAAATAACCTCATGATCACATGAAAAAACAATTGTCCATATCTTCATTTTCAAGGTGAATTTGACTTAATAAACACGGACAGATTTTTATAATAGACTTTTAGATGCACTTAATACATCTACAAATACAGTTCGATAACTTAACCAAATTAAATAAATCAATATCCAGATGATTTACAACTCTGCAATCATTAAAAGAATACAATTGCATAATTTAATCATCTGAAAGCAAAATTTCGCCTAAACGTAAAAACTCAATTAACAAGGACAATCTTCGAGAGACATTTGAAACAAACAAATCACTGAAACAAAAAACCAATATTTTGAAACGTTCTAATACTTTAACAACTCACCTTGGAACTGATTGATATTCCAAGTCTCTGTCTCTACTTTCCTAATACTGATTGTACATGGCATAGACGGAGAACGCTTTATGCTAGACAACTGAGTAATAGCTCTCAGTAGAATAAGCATAGTAGCAATCATAATGAAACTTTGAAAAAGTAAGGCGGTTGAAAATGGCTGTACAAACCTATAACGAGAAAATAATGCATGAATATGTATGGGAAGAGAGGTTAAACTGATCAGTACATACGAGTTTATACAAACTGGGTTGTGGTCAGGTTAAGGCTTTCTATTTATGGACCAATAAAACAAACTTTGAATCCTATGCCAATGTTCACTCCGGAATTCTTGTTAATTCGACAATAATATTCAAATTTTGTAAGTCATACAACAGTAGAGACATTACCTTCTCAGAGACTATCACGATGAGTAGTAATTGCTACCGCCATAAGTGGTTGAAAGACGGAATTACTTATGAAAGACGCTGTGAGATAAACTACAGGTGTTGGATGAGAGTATATAAGTGTACCGCAACTTCTTGAACAATACCCTAGAGATGATGCAAAGTGACTTAAAGCTTGACATGATGTGGCACTAAATTGGAGAGAGTAGAAATTCAGAAGATACTTCGACATGAAACAATGAGATAAAAAAACAATGGCCCCAACTAAATTCCCAGTTTTCGTGATTATCGTTTATCTAGCTCCTCCTTTATATGCTTTCTGGATGTTATTAAAATGATATGTACTCTGCTCCCCTCAATATTGTACAACTTTTTATTTAGATAAACTATACTTGCAAAACAAAGAAAAGCATAACAATATATTTATATTTGATCACTCCTTTTATACAATAAGAAACAAGCCACAGGTGGTACAAACTAAATTGATAATATAATGAACTATTTGCTACAGATTAGAATCCCGACCGTTGTTGCTACCTTGACGTGGTGGTCAGGCTTGCCTATCGTGATGAAGCAACCGAGCTATACTGGCTGGAACAACCGTTCCTCAAGGTCCTACCATGTCAGACAGGTCGGTTGAAGAGCGGTAAGACTAAAAGCAACAAACCCAAGGTCCGAAGGCGAAGTCGTACTGCTAACTGTATAGAGGTGTGACAGCAGTAAGGTGTTTCCTTCAGACAACCAGCATGACAGCGATGCTGCCTTCCTACAAGAAGGGATGGGGTTAGAAAAGGTCGACCCTAAAAATGCACACCTCACCTTACCTCACGAATTTCCGTCTCCGGCGGTAAGGACCTTTGAAGAACGGAGCTAACACGTCAAAAACCTCCCACGAAAAGGCCGTGCGCGACCGGCCTCAAGCAGTTGTCCCTTGAGCACTGCGGTCACGCTCTCAGGTCACTGACACTGCCTCTAATCCAATTTCCTTTTCAGGTACCTCCAGAACAACCCTTCCTCGGTGTGGGCAACCGGGAAGTGATAACCGCCCTCATACCTCTAACAGCACCCAAGACCACTGTATTCATAATCAACCTTCCTCTTCAATTCCTATTATTCCTCCTACATCGACTTTCAACCCTAAACTTCCTCCTTCGGCTTCCTCCCCAAGTGTCACCATAGCCAACGATTCTAGTGCTCAAAACTCTGTCCCAGGTCTACTGAAACCTCGCTCCAAACTACACATTGGAGCTTTCAACGTACGCACTCTATGTCAAATCGGTCAGCAGGCTTCCTTGGCTAAAACCCTAGAGTCTCTTTCCATTGATGTATGCTGTGTCTCTGAAACACGCATACAGGATTCCAGTGTGGTCATTCACTTGACCTCACCTCGGCAAAACGGAGAGCCAACCAGATACACCCTTCGTGTATCTGGTGACCCGATGGCCAGTTCTCGTGGACTGGCAGGTGTAGGCATAGCACTAAGCATGAGGGCCGAACAAGCACTGCTAGAGTGGATCCCCGTCAACAGTCGTCTATGTGCTGTTCGGCTAAACGGCTCCGTAAGAACTCGGAAGGATAGGGATACACGTCGTTGCCTTTTCGTCGTTTCTGTCTACGCTCCCACTGACTGCAGCTCAGATGATGTGAAAGATGAATTTTACAGAAAGCTTTCTGAACTTCTTCGGAAAGCTAAACGCTCAGACATAGTACTCATAGGAGGTGACTTTAATGCTCAGATAGGTAGCTTAAACCAAACAGAAAGGCATTTAGGTGGATATTTTAGCATTCCGGCACAGCGAACAGATAATGGTGACCGTCTGCTGCAACTGTGCTCAGACAATCGTTTATTTTTAGCAAACACAAATTTTAAGCATAAAAAGAGACATCGTCTAACATGGCGACCCCCTACACCAAATCAACGATGGACTCAAATAGACCATATTGCCATCAGTCATCGTTGGAGAGGGTCGGTAGAAGATTGTCGCTCATTCTGGAGTACCTGCTTGGACTCCGACTACGCCCTAATACGGGCACGCATCTGTTGCGCCTCACTGGACGCAAAAAAGCCACAGTAAAAAGACCCATTAGGACCGAACTGAGTAGCGAGGAAACCAAAAGTAGGTTCCAGGAACAACTGAGGTCACGATTAGGTAGTTCTGAAAACGAGGTTGACCCAGTTGTTGCTTGGAAAGCCATACAAACAGCTGTGGAAACAGCAGTGACATCTATCAGTGATTTAAACCACAGGGTTACAAAGAACCAATGGATTTCTTCAAAGTCTATCACACTGATGGATTCTCGCAAACTTGTCTCATCAGGTTCCGAACATGATGAAGAGCGACAACAAATCAGATCTAGGTTAAGAAAAAGTCTAAGAAACGACCGTGAGCAGTGGTGGGCAATGAAAGCAAAAGAGATGGAAAAGGCGGCGACTATAGGGAACACAAGACAGCTTTACAGACTAATAAAAGAAACTGGAATTAATAAGTCAAGTGTAAGTGAGATTATATCGGAAAAAGACGATAATCTCATCTGCTCCCAGTCCAGACGTTTAGAACGATGGGCAGAACATTTCAGAGAACAGTTCAACTGGCCTTCAGCTACTCTACAACTACCCTCCATTCCTAGACAGTGTGAATGGAACATTGAAGTAGGTCCCCCAACTCTAGCAGAAGTTCAAAAGGCTATAGCTAATCTGAAACGAGGAAGGGCAGCTGGTCCAGATGAATTGGCTCCAGAGGTCTTTAAGGATGGTGGTCCAATTTTAGCAATTAGGTTGACTAATATTTTAACTAAAATCTGGGAGTTAGACGTTATCCCATCTGACTGGTCGCAATCACTTATCGTCCCAATATATAAGAAAGGGTCAAAATCATCCTGTGACAACCACAGAGGGATTAGTTTAACAAACATAGTATCTAAAATACTGGCCTCGATAATTATCAGACGCCTAACTAAGACTCGTGAACTACAAACACGAGAGAACCAAGCTGGCTTTAGACCTGGTCGTGGCTGCATCGACCACATATTCACCATTCGTCAGGTTCTAGAACACAGGCATACTTATCGGCGTCCGACGATGGTGGTCTTTCTTGACTTAAAAGCAGCGTTTGACTCTGTAGACCGCGAGACTCTGTGGCAGTGTCTGTCATTGAAAGGCGTACCACAGAAGTACATAAACCTTGTGAAGACTCTTTACTCGAACACTACTAGTCGAGTCAGGGCTTATGGCGAACTGTCATCTACTTTTGCAACTTCAAGTGGTGTCCGTCAAGGCTGCCCACTTTCCCCATTTTTGTTTAACTTCATCATAGACCTATTGATGGAAATAACACTCTCGTCGACTGAGTTCTCGAGTATTGATCTCCTTCCAGGAGGTCCACTTATCGACTTAGAATACGCAGATGATATAGTCCTGTTTGGTGAAGACGCTGACAAAATGCAGAGTCTTCTGGTAGCACTAAGCAACAATGCCAGAATGTTTGGGATGCGCTTCTCTCCCTCTAAATGCAAGTTGTTGCTTCAGGACTGGTCTGCGTCAACACCTGAACTAAGGATAGGGAGTGAAGTAGTCGAAGGCGTCGACAACTTCACTTATCTTGGAAGTCTGATCAGCCTTAATGGGTTGGTGGCTGACGAAATCTCAGCACGGATTCGAAAAGCTCGCTTGGCTTTTGCCAACTTACGTCACCTTTGGCGAAGGCGAGATATCCGTCTATCAATAAAAGGACGAGTATACTGCGCGGCAGTCCGTTCTGTCTTACTTTACGGCAGCGAAACATGGCCATTAAGAGTAGAAGACACCCGTAAGCTACAAGTATTTGACCACAGATGCCTTAGAAATATTGCTGGCATCTGCTGGGATCACCGGGTAAGTAATAGTGAGGTTAGACGCAGGGTATTAGGGAATGATGGTAAATCAGTTGATGAGGTTATGAATCTTCATCGACTGAGATGGTTGGGCCACGTGTTACGTATGTCTGAACACCGACTACCACGACGTGCAATGCTAACCGGTGTAGGGGATGGTTGGAAGAAAGTTAGGGGCGGCCAAACCAAAACGTGGCATCAGTGCTTGAAGTCACTAACTTCTAGTCTGAGCCATGTTGGTAGATGCCGACTACTTGGTTGGGGTCCGCGTGACTTTCGTAACCAATGGTTGGAGACTCTTGGTGACATGGCTCAGAATCGATCACAATGGTGTCGGTGTATACACTCTTTGTCTTCCCTTAAACTAAGAGATTAAAATCACTTCATATCTTTCTTTCTACGAACTAATTCCTCCTTCCTATACTATATTCTTATTGCAACCTTTGACCTAACCACTCCTATGAATCCTGTGTTCATCTTGTTGTGCTAATGAGGCATGGCAACCTGGACCGATGCACATATGTGCCTGGTCCTACGTTGTAGCTGACTGACTGACAGATTAGAATTCTAATGATCTGGCAAGCGAATTTTCTATTGTTAGTCAAGGTAAAGAATCCTAATCGGTAGATGATATGGAGTGATACAATGTGGCTGTGACAACTGCTTACAAGACCTGACTATTGACGTGAACCCCTGAATGCTTTGAAATCGAAAACAAGACCACTAATCGGAATAACATGCTTATGTGATGAAAAAAGGACTAGATGCCTATAAATAAAACACAAAAAATAGCACAGTAAAATAACATAGGTGACTGGAAGAAATCAGTTCTTAAGTCACTCATTCTCCAACGAATTAAGGCCTGACTATCCAGACTGATTCATGCCCGTCATATTAGTACCATACAACAAATTTAAAAATCCAGGCAGAACATGGTTCACTTGACTGTAATTCAATAAACTAGTACTTGAAATGTCGAAAAATTCAGAATACGATTCACAATGAACAAACGTGTTAGGTTGTTTTATAATAATAAGAGGAGTTTTTAGGAGTAGTTGCTTAGTGATTAAAGCATTCAACTTACAGCCATCTCTGGAAGTTAGAGCCCCACTTCAATTCTTTATATATCGGGAGTCACTTGGTAAACTAGTCTTCACACGAGAATTTAACTTGAAGCCGAGTGCATGAAATTAAACATGCTTTTCAAGTCATGTGGTTATTACTAAGAAACAAACTTGGAGTGACCAGCTTTGTAGGGTTCTGAAGCACACTTTACCCAAATATGGCACTAATATAGTAATAGTGCGGGACGGTTGTGATTATATGATCGAGTCCATTGTAAAATAAATATTCAGTAATAATCTTTCAATCTTTCGTAATATTAAAGTACTAAGTAAATAAATAAACGTCCCAGATGAAACATTAAAAACCAAGATTTTAGTAGGAGAAACAGTATATACTATCGTCTTAATAGTATCTAATTGTCATGTATACCTTATCGAACAGTTCTCATTATAAAAAACATATACGTTTAAAACTTGAAACATTATCTTATAACGCAATGATTTTCAGTTTGGTTTCGAAAAAGAAGGGGTAACTACTTATTCCACTAAAAACATAATAAGTAAATGAAATAATGAAAAACTTACCAAAACAATATTCTTAGAACATTCGATATTAAAAGTATAAAACAAACAAATGAGGAAAAACCTTTAATAGATTGTGTTTTGCGAATTTTTAAATATTGTGGAATATAAGGAACCGCTCCTCCAAAAATATAAAGTAGGCTGAAAAAGTTATACAATAGCCTTCCATCTTCAGTTGTATTATCTTCATTACTTTCAAATATGTTAAACATCAATCAAGTTAAACACTAAAAGATTTCAAAATGATAAAGAGAAATTTTACACGAAAAAATTAAAGATATAATATTTCAATTTGGAAACACTAAATCATACGTAAGTGTTAAGAAAATATATTTAAATATGAAAAATTTCTTAACCCTCTAGACAGAAATGTAATAAGAGCAGTTCAACGTAAATAAACAAAGACTTTCCAGTTGTATTATTATTGACGACTGATTGGTTATATGTATATTTTGATTATTTGATTAGATTTCCCTATCAACTTAGGATAATCCTATCCCTACTGTCACATATTTTATTTAATTCCAAAATTTGCGAAAGAGACGAAAATCTTTTCTCATTTTACAACAGTTAACAGTTGGCCAATTAGTCCTAATCAACGTACGGCTGTCAAACCACATCAGTAAGACAAAATAAAATCAGAAGTATGAATGGCCGAGTAGAAATAATGTAACAGTAATGATGAAAAAGGCTAACTTATTGATATGGTTTGAGGAGACGGAATGAAAAAAGGGTGAAAGAATACTGGGACTTAAAATCTAAAGTAAGATGGACAGTAGATCTATTAGCTCTACCGAGACCAATTCAGAGCTACTTTACTTAACGCCTCCAACCAGTAATTGTGGTTGTCGGGTGGGCCCCAACTAGGTAGCCCATACCTGCTAATACGGCTCAGACCAACAATCATTGATTTTATGAACTGATACATCTTTCTCTTTTGACCTAGCTTAGTTTTCTTCAAACCTACTCCTACATCAGCTAGCATAGACCCTCAAGATAGATGACATTTAGACATACGTAAAACATGCCCAACTACCTCAGACGATAAAAATTTCTAACCACACTACTCGATTCCCTATCTTCCTCTAGTGCTTTGTGTTTTACCTCAATGTTGTTTACTCAATCTTCCTAGGATACCTGAGCAATGCGACAAAGATATCAACGATCACAAAACTGCAACTCACGTCTACATCCAAAGACCATGTTTGTCACATAGTAATACATAACAGACCACTAACTTTACTCGCAATGATTAATCCACATAATGTTGACCAGTCCAAAAGCAACATGTTAGTAATCAAAGTATAGAAAACGCATTCCAAACATAGTTATATTGCTACTCAAAGACTTCGTGAGACCACATTGTCACCGTTTCCTAATTAAAACTAATCTATTTTATCAACCTAAGATGCATATGAACCAATTTTCAAGCTATATAGTTTATGTTTTTATCCCATATCTGTTTTAGACGAAAATAGAGTAAATATACACTGTGATTTAAGAAAAAATAATTCAAACACAGAAATATGAGATCTGTAAGAAGGAAAATGAGGTAATTATTTTTTTAAAATTTATGTTATCATAGTGAGTGAATAATGCAGAATTTATGAATCGGCTGGCGAAACTTGGTCTTAGAAAGTGAAAAGAACTTAATTATCTGGGCTATGATTGATAATCTAAAAAAAATTTATTAAAACTTGTGTAAGCGAGATAACAAGTGAATATTTGCTATATAAGATCAAGTAAAATATTTAGTTATTCGCAAGTGTGAATGTTCAACTATAGTGAACTCAATGACTTTAGTCAGCAAGCCATCATATAGCACACCTTATGAAGTTTTATCATTTTGTGAGTCGATATGTACTCGAACAAAAAGAGTAGCATACATGTATGTCAATTAGACCGTTCCATAATCCCACTGCACACTCTACACCAAACCTAAATAATTGTTTGTCAAACTACTGTGGAAATTACCGTATTAATGCTTTGCGAACGGGATGCAAATGCAATTGATTACGAGCCCACATATAGACCGATGAGTATTTTCGTTAGTCTCATCTCAGAGCGAACGAAAGTCTTCCCGTAACTCCGAAGTACATAAACCAATGTAACTATACGGATTATAAAATAAAATCTCAGTAAACTGAGTTTGCTGTATACAACGATTTCGCGAGTTGAAAAACTGAAACCAGTTTGATAATCTGTGCGCGTACTGAAGACTTGTGTCGAAGCAATACATGCCTTTTACAAAACTACCTTATATAACGTAGTTTTGTGAAAACCTAGATTGAGATACTCCTCACAAGACGATATTGTTCACGAAAGGGAATGTTTTTATCGCTAAAAAATAATTAAATGATCATTTCTACAATTGTCTGAGTGATACAGGCAAGTCCCACAATAGCCATCCAAAAGAAACATATTACCGCCTCTACTCAATTGTGCACAAAGAGAGCGGGTAAATCAAGGAGACATTCAATGTCGATTGCTCTATTTCTGTGGATTTCGTGTGATGATGATAGACCGTTCGCCCAAATATTATGTGGTAATTTATTTAACCACCTAGTTACAATTTCGCTAGATTCGGGTGCTGCATGTTCCTTAATCAACAGTTCTCTCGTCCCCAATGATGTATCCCTGTATGATACTTACAATGAACGTCCGAACGTAATTAGTGGCAATTCCATGGATGTCGAGGTGAAATTACCATTGTAATGGACCCAAAACCAATCGAACTTCCTGAGTGATTCGTCAGTAATTAGGTGAGAAATTAAACATGGTACATATGAATTTCGGACTATAGTCACATCCAGGTATTTAAAGCTAGTGAGACGTAGTTGGAAAAACTTCGTACTAAGCACCATTCTTTTAACTAGGCGCTCTTAGTAACTATTTGGACCCATTAAACGTCATATAAGTTGCTTACTTCCATTTCCTTGCAGGTTTCATCATGTCATGTCAGTTACAATGAAAATGTGTCACTGGGAACCTAATATTGGTAATGTTTTTGCAAACTGTAATTGACGTTTTGCTTATAGATCAATTTTCTAGCTCATACGGACCAAATTTTACAGGAGAACGCCGGAGACGCTTAGACGAGAAAGAAATCATTTAGTAGTGTGCAAAATTCAGAATATTTAAAGCATAATTGCACTTGATTATTCTCTGGTAGCTCGAAAACCCCGTCAATTGGTAGGTTATGCTTTCTTTGACGGTTTCCATAGAAGTTTCGAAAGACTCGTCGAACTATTTACAATCTATGTTCAGATTTTGACTTTACAGACGTTTTTGCTACCTAATGTTGTTGTTTAATTATTAAAAGACTCGTTGTTAGTATATTCAATTATGTTTGGGTCCTCTGTAAAAACAATTTATCGCAAGTACAGCTTTCTTCAGTCGCATTCAGTTTCTGAAAATCGGATAGAAACAGCGTTTTCAAGGAAATTTCGTTATTTTCCTTCGACAAAACACCAGCCGTTCATCAGATCTGAAAGACTATTTGTCTTAAATATTTGTTAGGGGTAAACTATCTTGCATAAATTAATCGTGGATTGCCAGGCATGTCTCTCCAAGCGAAACACAGGCAAAATTATCACAACGTTTCAGAGGATTATTGCTTGAATTTTCACCAAATTTCTTCAAAGAATATCACCTTGATTCTCCCTAAGGTTCCTCTATATTTCAGCACAAAGTTTGCTCGACACTTATTTTAAACAGCGAATCAACCGTCTAATTAACTATTATACTGGCAAAGTTTCATTTAGGGAAAATGAGGCTTAATGAAGATGTTAATTGGCCATTTCATTGTAAGGTTCTTTCAGAAAGAATTTCCAACTACTGGTTGAAGTATGAACAGCTATCTAGGACGATATATGGATAGGCAACATTTTATCTATGCTCACTAGTAATTAATTGACTTTTATGAACTGAGTACCAATTTTTTTATTATAAAGTCTATCCTTCAGGTTTCTCCAAACTACTTAGGATCATCTGAAGTTTGTGAATCAGAACGTCCTTTGCCGAAAATTACTTGTATGATTCTTAATAGCTACATTTAGGCCAATTATTGCTAATTACCGTATAATCAGCAGTTTGATTAGAAGAGAGTCAGCCTTTTATGAGAACGTTTGCTCATTACTTTTCAAACAACTAGTCATGACCTGTAAGATCTGTTATGAATGTTTTATGTGTGTGTGAAAATCCCTCCATGTATATACTTGCACTTTGTACCTATTGATCCCCTTAGTTGTGCATTGTTAACTTTTTGATTACATTTGAATTGTTAATGTTTGTATTTTATTATAGTTTTTATTTTTATACGCCTTCACTAAGTCTCCATGTTTCTTCCCGAACTGCGCTTGTGTTGTTTTACTTTATACTTAGTCTTGGCGGCAGCCATATTAGCTTGTCCCTCCTTTGATTGATTTACCTGTGTTGACTGGAATTGTGCAGTTTTGGTTGTGAATTGAGGCACTCTTCCAGAATTGGAAACACCGTGTTATAAAGCGACCAAATATTATCTTTTGGACGAATCTGTGCATGGTCTATCCAGACAGGATAGAATAACATTTATTTGTTGTGATTGGTAATTTTCTTGAATCCTTTGTCAACTTCCTTATTTATTGTAATTTAGATTTGATCAATTGAACAATTATTGGTTGGATAGCTGAGTGGTCGTATTTGTTTAGGTAATAATGTACATTTAAATTTATGATGAATTATAGAACCGTCATTTTACCCAATTACTTTGTTTTGGTTTCAAACGAGCAAGGGCGCGTATCTAACCCACCTAATCAGCTGTCCATCAATCCAAATCTTAGTTTGGATCTTATATGACCAACACTGTCGAAGATTCAAAATTTACTAACAAATCGTAACCATAGTTTTACTTACTTATGTTCATTACCTTAGTAAGACTATAGTTTTATCACCACGCATTGTGAGCAAATTCACCGTTTAATTATAGGATCTAAAATGTATCACAAGCTTTAATTCCTTCTTATATTCCTGGCTTCTTTTATTCAGAACCGCTATGGTAAACCTGGTGAGCTACCCACGACTTTCACCTTGTGACTTCCGTCAACTACTGACAGGTCTAAATTCCTCACAATATTCGCATATCGATCGGATAATTGCTTTGTTAAAAGCTGGTGTAGTTTAATATTTACGGCAAATACATTCTATAATCTGGTGAACAATTTCACATAAATATACCAACTATACGTTGTGTATGGTCTTCTGTTTTCCTAAACAGCGCACTACATGCAGAAAGTCTTGCGATGCAGTAGTAAAATAACTACATGCATGATGCGATATTTGCTCAAAACCTGACTTTTCACGATACTCGTCAATAATATCCACCGTTTAATTATCACCGCTTAATATTTTGATCAAATTAGTTTCGCAAAACCATAAGCATACCGTCTGATGAACTCAATTATCTTCTTATGAGTGTATACGTATTCCTACAATGGATTGGCTGCCCATGTGGTAGGACATGTGTCCAACAAACTGTAGCATAAACAGTTTTACCTGTTCAATATGTGTGCGAAGTAAACATTTTAAGGGCATTTTTAAGCCCCATTAACTAGTGAGTACTGCACATACGAGAATAACCTTTATTGGAGACCTAATTTTAGCTTACAAAGTTTGCTTTACCTGCTTTATTATATGAAGGTGAAATTCGCTAGAAGACATGAAAAAGAAGATCTAGGTGGTCGAAATTATTGCATAGTAAGACCGATGTCCCTATGTGCATCGCTCACTCACTAGATGGACAGGAAGACATTCTCAAACCCTTGATATCCCACACATATTGAACACTGGAAAAGTATGGATAACCTTGAAGCAACATATACAGTCAGTATTGACCCCATCTCTAAGTGTTATAAATCTCCATCTGAAAGTGACACCGCTCTATTTTTCCATATAGTAACAACTAAGATAAAGTTGAAAATGATAATGTTGTCTCCTATCACGAGCCTTGTCTGATAACCTGAAAGCCATAGAATCGCACCATCAGTTAGCCCGCAAAACCAAATATATAGAAGAGAAATTGAATTCTTTATCATTTTTCAAGTGTTCCTACGAAACCTAAAATCACGGCTAGCTGGAAAGTTCGGGTTCCCCATAATTAACTGCACTTATCTATGATTTTTTAGTGTCAGTTGCTATGTTGAGTCCACGCAGCCTGTTCTAGCTTTCAAAAAGACCAGTCTATTCATTCTTCTTGAAAAACACCCTGACCCTGTTAGATAGTCGCCTATCGACCTTGACTGTTTTCATATGAGCGTATGTGTTTGGACTTCTTATCCCATTCATCACAGTTCTGTAACTTATTTTTGTCCAACTATTAATACCGATTCACGTTCAGCTAAATTGAGTTGGCTTACTCGTCGCCTCCATTGTGCGTCATTTTGCGATGCTCTGCTTTCCGATCAGCAATTTTACGAAATATAAGTATTCAAAAACCCATTCTTTTATTTGATTTGAGTTAAGTTGCTAATTATATGCGAGTATTGGTGACATGTATATTTCAAAAACAATCAGAAACCATCTAACTGGTATCAGATATGGGGCACTAGAATTTCTTATTTTTAAGTGGCACTAAAAGTTATTACGATATTCGCGACAACTTAATAGAAACAATACCTATGTGTTCAGAAATTTTTTTATCTGCACTTACTTGATGACACTGTAGACTTCATGGAGATTGGCTATAAACGTTTGGTGCCACCTATCAGCATTATTAATGTAATACAATACTAATTGCAAAAAAATTCACTTTATATAAAAAATTAGGGAAACTCTTATTTGGAGCTAATCCTCACGTTTAATACCGCTGCAATCATTTCCAGTTTCGAAATAGTGATTTATTCGGTTGCAGCTATTCTTGATTTACTATGTAACAAAACTGTGGGCAATTGCATGATCAACGATGTCTGCAACCAATCTCCGGCTGAGCAATGAATAAATGTAGTTTTGCATCTACTCCGAGTTCGTAGACTCATTTAGTCCCACGAGACAGCGACGTGACCTACCTACTCATTTTAGCCAAGTGGATACATCTGTCCCGATGAGCTGTCTATCCCAACTTATATGAGCCTTGTATAGCCTTTGTTAGATGAACTTAGAAGTGGGGCATTTTGAACCGATGAAACCCATAGGTTCAAGCAAAAAGGAGACGACAGATAGTATCCCTCATACACCCAGAGGATCCTCTTACAAATTAAAGCAAAACATAAATGCATCTGGTTTGACGTCTTATTCAAAGCTTACAGTTCTATAAGTGGTGTTATAACTCGCTGGAGTGCCAACAGAAGTTTCTTCTCTACATGTATCAGGCAAAGCAACCTTCACTCCTCCAATATAATTATCCATTCCTTCGAAATGAAACCTCCGTTAAATGATCATTCATTTATTGTGATAACCATTCTTTCAGCTTCTCTACAGGTGTA